AGCCCTTGAAGCCATCAAATCTCCGGTGGCATCCTGGGCAAGGTGGGTGGACACAGAGCAGCAGTGGGAGAAGGAAGCCTAGAGCCTTTATAACGCTCTTAGAGCCAGACAGGAGCAGCTCCAGGACATCCATGAGACCATCAGAGGGGATTTGTTCCTAATCTTCTTGTGTAAAACCCCACTGCATGGCCAACACAGGACCCTCCAAAAGAATAGCATCAGCCCATGCCAGTGAAGTTGCAGTGAGGACAGCTCAGCCCCCAGTGAATCAGTGTCTCAAGTGACGTCTCCCAGTAGATATTTTCTTTCCCAGTCCTCTCCCACACAGATCGACTGTTCATCTGTGCCAGCATCTGCTGCCGTGCCTGAGGTGGGTGGGTGGGTGCACATCTTCTTGCAGCAGGGCTGGTTCTGGATCCCCTACATGCACATGGGCTGTAGGGCTGGATGGTGCTGCTTTGGAATCATAGAATATGCTGAATTGGAAGGGACCCATAAGGATCATTGAGTCCAACTTCTAACAAGACCCCAAGACTCCTCAGGCCTGAAGAGACAAAAATTGGACTTTTCTGAAGTTAACCTTGGTGGCAGAAGAGCAGGATGTAGCTGTGGTGTGTAGGGGAATCATAGAATCATAGAATGGCCTGGGTTGCAAAGGACCGCAATGATCATCCAGTTTCAATCCCCTGCTGTGTGCAGGGTCACCAACCACTAGAGAAGCACTGCTGGATAGCCATAGACATATATTTGTTTTCCAGATATGGGCCCAAACGAGGACAGATGTTGCCCTCTGTGAGCCTACCTGAGAGAATATGGATTTCTCTCCATGCCACATTGTCCATTTCTTGAGATGGAAGATGGGACTTTGTCAACCTGATGTGTCTTAGTGAGGGTTGGTTCCAGGGCTGGGAACATACCTGGCTCACTTCTCTCAACATCTCCTCAACACTTCCACCCTCTTGGTTCATCTGAATGTGTCACTGCATGGCAACAGGCATGGAACACCCACACCAGGGGCTGGGAGCAGCAGTTCCCTGCAGGCAGTGAGTGCAGGACCTGCACCTCTGATCCCATGTGGGGCTGCAGCCCACCCACCCCTACAGCCCAACGTGGAGCACAGGGTCCCCTCGCTGCTGTCCTTCACTGTGGGACTTGTTGGCTCACTCAGCAGCACCCCAAGCCCACCCAGACCTCCCCCCAGGGCTCAGTGGGTCTTTCTGGCCCAGCTGTCTCGCTACCCCATCGACATGGGAGGCGATGCTATGGTGGGTGCTGACACTGGATGCCCTCTGTGAAGGCATCTACCCCTACACCAGGTTCCCCACGTTTCTTTCCAAGCTCTCCAAGCTCCTTCCCAAGGCTCTGAAGTCCACGTGGTGCTGCTACCTGCACGGGAAGCCTTCCAGAAGCCTGGATTTCACCAAGCCCTGAGTGATGGTTACATGGAGATGATGGTCAATGGCACCAATTCCATGAGGGCCGCGTGTGCATTAGCACATAACAGATCCGAGTGATGTGAGCAGCTCTGTTAAGCACTGGTTATCATGTCAGTGACACAAAGAAGGCAGGGAAGCAGGCTGGCTACCTAAGTTATGCAAAGTGCCTTACCTGGAGACAATTTTCCCCTGCAATTACCTTCATGTTAAACACCGTTACATAATGATCACAGATTTCAGGTCAAAGACTCGGTACGTCACGAAAGCATGGTGTGTTTTGACATTTATGGGAATACTTCTTATTTTTAGTTAGTTTGGTTACCATGGCAGCGTGAAGAAGTCTGCACCAGACGCAGCTATACATTAGATTTTGGCCTCCCACTTGATACATCCAAAAACTTTTAAAGTGATTTTCCTCCAGCTCCGAGCCATAAGCCACCATGGGTGGAGTGAGGCTGGGAAATGAAATAACCTGCATGCTGCTCTTTAATAATGATGTTCCTGAAGCCCTTCTCTGCATCGAACGCAGGCGCTCGTTGGGATGTGAAGTTTTGTTTGCTTGGGTATCACAGCAAAGCTGACTGCACTGCAGAGGTTCGTAAAGGTGGAGTGGGTTTACATGGTGATGTATGAGCTAAAAGCAAGCAGAAATTGTTGGAAGACGGGGATATCATAGAATGGCTTGAGTTGGAAGGGACCCCGAGGATCATCAAGTTCCTGCCAGATCTGCAGGACCGGAGAAAGCTTTGCCAGCAGAGCACGGGGAATGGGGGGCTCCAATGGGTGCACTGTGCAATGCAGAGGCAGCACTGTCTGCAGGGATGCCGCATCTCCAGCCCTGAAAGCTCCCAGCAGAGTCTTCAGCCAGCAGAGAGCGGCGAAGAAGACAGAGCCAGGCTGTGGGAGGAAGGACAGATTGCTCGGGTGGGATGAGTTCAGTGTTGCTGTTCTCTGAGATGAGTCACAGGTTGGGAAAGTGGGGCATTAATCTCAGGGGAGATGAGTAAGTGGGCAGCACAAAGGCAGCGGTCAAAGGAGCATCGCAAATTATCCCTGCAGCTCAGCTCTTCCTGTGTATTAGCAACAGCTAATGAAATCAGAAACTGTCCGATAAAACCCGAAGAAAAATAGGATGGAAAGAAATGATGTCACCTCTGAAAGCACTCAGCAAATACAGGATGCTGATGTGCCACCAGCTTGGATGTCAGTCCGGCTGATTTATCTGCCAAAGTGTATGTCCAGCAAGTGGTGCTGGAGGTGATGGGGAGATGTTGTCACCATGCTCACTGCCAGCATCCCCAGTGCAAGCCCTGCCTGTTAAAGGAAACGGTCATCAAACACCTGAAATGCTTACATGTTAATGGTCCCGTTGGTGTTTCTCAGGAGGCCGTGTGGCATCAGGTCCTGTAGCACCAAAAGGCCACCCAGATCCAGAGCTATTGCTCAGCAGCCAGAGAAGCTTTGTGTCGTCGTGTTGGGAACATGGATGGGACAGATGCAGTCAGACGCTGCCTGTGATTCAAGCAGCTCCTGACTCAGAGCCACTGAAGTCAGCAGAAAGCCTTTACGTGATGCTGCTGGGCTCAAGAGTCAGCCCCGACCCCAAAACAGGTGAATTTCATGGGACCCCATGGATGCTGCTTGCCCAGAATATGTAACATAGTTGTGATGGCACTCATGCCACCACCTATGCATGGAGGAACTCCTCAGGACCACCTGAGTTCAGTGGGCTCCAACACCTGCAGTAAGATGGCACCTTTCCTTGCAGACCGTGAGCAGACAGGAGGTGTTTCCAACCTCCGGAGCTTCTACATTTCAGAAACAGAGCCACAGGGCCAGAGGTTTCACAGAATGACAGAACGGCCCGGGTTGGAAGGGACCTCAAGGATCACGAAGCTCCAACCCCCCTGTGCCATGCAGGGCCACCAACCTCCACATTTCACAGCAGCCCAGGCTGCCCAGGGCTCCATCCAACCTGGCCTTCAACACCTCCAGGGATGGACGGGGCATCACAGCCTCTCTGGGCAGCTGTTCCAGCACCTCACCACTCTCACAGCACACAACTTCCCCCTGACATCCAACCTCCATCTGCCCACCCCTGTTTCAGTGCTGGGATTTCAGACCTGGGATGCTGTAGGACATCTCAGCAGGCATTTCTGCTGGATGCCTCATCATCAGGCTTGGGCTCCATGACCTGGAAAGGTGGAATGAGGATGGGATGTGGAACTAAAGGTCAGGTGTGCACACAGGGACAAATCAAGCAGGATTTCTGCTGTCAACCAAGAGCTCATCTGCTCAGAGTGGCTGAGAGGAAGAGGACCAGGTTTTATGCATTGAGTACAGGATGAATTGTGGGCTGCCAATGTCTTAAAGGAATAAAAAAAGGCAACTCTCATCCAAGGACATGTCCACTGAGATTGTTCCAGTAGGCATGGGGAAACACAACACAGAGACCCTGTGCAGAGCTCACTTCTGTCCATGGAGTAGGAATGCCATGCATGGGTGGAAGTGTCCCTCTGGAAGGAGGGGGCCCTGAGCCCACCCACTCTCATTCATCTCTCTGAGGTGTTACAGGAGGGCCATGAAGCCTGCAGAGCTCTCTGTCTCATCTCATTCCTCTCTGTTATTTCTTAGCTCCAGCACAGCTCAGAGCCTCACCAATCAACCCAAACTCACCCTCCTGGCTGCCCATTACCTGCACAAAATCCCACCCAGGACCGAGGAGCCCACACAGCACACAGCAAAGGTGGGAGCAGCCAATTTACCACCTCAATGATCCACTCTGGGAATCCACCCATGGGGGGAATTGAGGTAGGCTCCTTTCTGCCCCACAGATCAATGTGCTGCAATGATCCCGGCAGATTAATTAGCGACAGACAGCCTTCAGCATCACATCCTGCTGCTCCTCGCTCTGATCTTGGATGAGAAACCCATCGATTTCCCCAGCACTGCCTTCCTCGTGTCCTACAGCCCGGCTGGAGGATGCGGTTGGGAGGAAGGCTGGGATGAAGGCTGGGATGAAGGCTGGAGGGGATACGGGAGCGCATCCCGACCCCCAACTGCTGCCATTTCCCGGTGGGTCTTAGAGCCACCGCACCGTCGTGGTTTTTTGGCACGGCCCAGCATCCCGCCGCGCTCCCAGCGATATCTTCACGTTCGATCCCGATTTCTAATCGACGGCTCCGGCAGACAAAGCGAATCCTCCCGCAGGCTGCCGGGGTGCAGAAGGGGAGCGGGCAAACGACGGTGATAACATCACCGCCATCTTGGGGGCAACCCGCAGGGCTGGGCGGGGACGGAGGGCGGCCCGGGGGGCGGCGGAGCCGTTCTCTAGGGTAAAACCGGGACTGCAGCGGAGGCGGCCGGCCGCCCCAGCGCCGACCCCGCAGCCCCGAGAACGGCCCCCCCCCCGCGGCGCCAGCGGACGGACGGGAGGGACAACCAATAGCGGCGCGCCGGTCGCCTCCCCGCTGTCAGCGGACCAATGAGAGGGCGCGGGGCGGGGAGGGGCGGGGCGAGGCGGGGCGGCGTGCGGGCGGCGGGCAGTCGGCGCCGGGACGCGGTGCGGTGCGGTGTGTCGTCGGGCAGTGCCGCGGCCGGTGCCGCGCGTCGCTTTTTCCCCTTATGGAAGAGATGGAAGAGGAGCTGAAATGCCCGGTGTGCGGCTCCTTCTACCGCGAGCCCATCATCCTGCCCTGCTCGCACAACCTGTGCCAGGCGTGCGCCCGCAACATCCTGGTGCAGACGCCGGATTCGGAATCCCCGCAGAGCCGCCGCGCGTCGGGCTCGGCCGTCTCCGACTACGACTACCTGGACCTGGATAAGATGAGCCTGTACAGCGAGGCGGACAGCGGCTACGGCTCCTACGGCGGCTTCGCCAGCGCTCCCACCACCCCGTGCCAGAAATCCCCCAACGGCGTGCGGGTTTTCCCCCCCCCCCCCCCCCCCCCCCCCCGCCGCCTTGGCCCCTCCGCCTCCGCCGCCCCGCAACGCGTGCCTGACGTGCCCGCAGTGCCACCGCAGCCTGGTGCTGGACGAGCGCGGGCTGCGCGGCTTCCCCCGCAACCGGCTGCTGGAGGGCGTCATCGATCGCTACCAGCAGGGCCGGGCGGCGGCGCTGCGCTGCCAGCTGTGCGAGAAGGCGCCCAAAGAGGCGGCCGTCATGTGCGAGCAGTGCGACGTCTTCTACTGCGAGCCGTGCCGCCTGCGCTGCCATCCGCCCCGCGGCCCCCTGGCCAAACACCGCCTGGTGCCGCCCGCGCAGGGCCGCGTCGGCCGCCGTCTGAGCCCCCGCAAGATCTCCACGTGCACGGACCACGAGCTGGAGAACCACAGCATGTACTGCGTGCAGTGCAAGAGCCCCGTGTGCTACCAGTGCCTGGAGGAGGGCAAGCACTCCAGCCACGAGGTGAAGGCGCTGGGGGCCATGTGGAAGCTGCACAAGGTGAGGGGGCGCGGCGTGCGATCGCGGCGCGTTGGGTTGCGAGGGCTTTCGCGGCCCGCAGTCCCTCCCACCCCTGCCGTGGGCCGGGTGCCCCCCAGCTCGGGATGCCCACAGCGCGTCCGCGGCCTTGGGTGCCTCCAAGTATGGGGCACCCACGGCTGTGAGCGGTGCCAGGGCCTCGCTGCGCTCTGAGTGAAGGATTTCCCCTTGGCATCTCAGGACGGGAGGTGATGCCTGATGTTGCACCAGGTTGGGTACAGCGGTGCTGCGGTGGCACGGCTGCCCAGGGAGCGCTGGGGTCACTGCGGTGACCCGCTAAGCCCTGTCCCTGGTGATGATGGGTTGGCAGTTAGACTTGATGATCCTAGAGGTCTTTTCCGACCTCGTGGTTCAAAATCTGCCCTTTTCTATGAGTGGTTCACAACTAGAATCATAGAATGGCCTGGGTTGCAAAAGACCACAATGCTCGTCCAGTTCCAACGCCCTGCTGTGTGCAGGTCACCAACCAGCAGCCCAGGCTGCCCAGAGCCACATCCAGCCTGGCCTTGAAAGCCTGCAGGGATGGGGCATCCACAGCCTCCTTGGGCAGTAAGGGCAAAGCCAACCTGCAGCACACTGATGATGAGAAAGGGCTGCCTGCCTCCTGCACACTGACTCATGGGGGGAAGGAGGAGGAGGAGGGTGGCATCCCCTGAATGCTGATCAGCTCCGGAGTGCAGTCACTCCCACACAGGGCCCTGCTGGAGGAGAGGCTGCTGGAGCTGGGGACAGAGCTGCCATGAGCACACAGCCCAGCCTGCACCAGCACTCACCTCCCCCTTTGTTAGGTGCAGATCCAGCACAAGTGATGGGCAGTGCTGTGTGCACTCAGCTGCTGCAGGGTCAGCCCTTGCGAGCCTGGTTAGCATGGCTTGTAGGTGCTCCCTGCAGAACCACTTTGCCAATGCAGTACCTCACTGATGCTGCCAGGCAGGGAGCTGCCGTGTTGCTACTGCTGAGAGTTTCCATGCATCTACCTGAAAATCAGACTGCGAAGTCATGCCTGCCTTTCTGCAGGTAGTTGGTTTGGTTTTGGGATAGGACAGGGCCTGAATTCACTGCCGTTTCCCACTGCGTGTTTGTTGGGGGAGCGAAAAGAGTTCTGTTGGCATTAGATGTGACTTATTTATTTATTTGTTTATTTTAATTTGAAGGAATGATTTCACCTTCAGTGCTCAGGAGCGCTCCTTGAGATGCAGTGTAGTGAAACTGCCCAAGCTTTGGATGAGTTTGGCTGTGTCCTGGGTTACTGCTGTGCATCCGGAGCCAACAACCTATGGAGCTGGAGCCTCTGGGTGTTTTGGGGAGCACGGCCCTTAGGCAGCAAGGCAAACCTGCAGGAGAGGTGGCTGCCCCTTTCTGCCCCACCTTCCTGCTGTTGTGAGTGCCTGTAACACAGTGAGGCACTGGCACAGGTTGCCCAAGGAGGCTGTGGATGCCCCATCCCTGCAGGCATTCAAGGCCAGGCTGGATGTGGCTCTGGGCAGCCTGGGCTGCTGGTTGGCGACCTGCACACAGCAGGGGTTGGAGCTGGATGAGCACTGTGCTCCTGTGCAACCCAGGCCATGCTGTGGTTCTATGACCACCCACTACAGGCCATGAGAAGGGGCAGAGGTGTCAGCTGTTGCCTTCTCTCTTATATCACAGTGCTCTGTGCAAAGTAATCCACAGTGCTCATTGTTTGTGACCTGAGATGAATGTGGTTCTCACTGGAGCCCAGGTTGACCTGAGCGTGGCTTGCTGGGCTGCTGCTCCATCAAGTGTGTCAATGCAGAGTTGCCAGGCCTTGTCAATCACTGCTGAGTCAGCGGGTGGTCATAGCATCACAGCATGGCCTGGGTTGCACAGGAGCACAGTGCTCATCCAGCTCCAACCCCTGCTGTGTGCAGGTCGCCAACCAGCAGCCCAGGCTGCCCAGAGCCACATCCAGCCTGGCCTTGAATGCCTGCAGGGATGGGGCATCCACAGCCTCCTTGGGCAACCTGTGCCAGTGCCTCACCACCCTCTGGCTGAAAATGGGGTGGAGACCAAAGGGCTTTTAGCACAGCTTTTTGGGAACTGCCTTGCTTTTTGCTTCCCTCTGAAAACGAAGATGATCATTTCAGAATAATCGGTGCTGAGACACAATGTCATACAAGGCAGGGAGCTCGGATTTCTAAGCTGGACATCCTCTCTGTTCCTATCTTCCCTTCAGGACAGCTGCTGGGAAGAGGGGTAAATGTTCAGCGAAGCAAAGAAGGAAACAGGTTTAATCTGAAGTGTCTGAGTTTTGTACACGTGTCACAGCTGTTTGGGTTTTGCCCTGGGAAGATGTGGTGCTGCTAGTCATGTCAGAAGCAGAAGCACAAGATGGAGCTGGCTCATGTATTCCTCACACATCTGAGTTCCTCTTATGCTTGCATGGTGAGGGCAGGCCTGACAGCTTGCTGATGGTGAGAGAGAAAACCCCAAAATGAGGGAGCTGTTGGGATGGAAGGGATCTCACACCCCCCCAGCCCCAGAACTGTGCTCAGGTCGCTGATCCCTACAGCATCTCTGCACTCCTTGCAGCAGAGGCTGGCCCTGCTGGCTGTAGTTGCGTGCTGTTGAATTCGGCTGTGATGATGGTTAGCAGCTAATTAGCAGCTGTGTTACCTAGCCCCCAGCCCATGCACTGATGCAGCCAGGCTTAGAGGTGCAGGGGAGCTCTGTGGATGCTAAGCCCAATTGCTTTGTACACGTGGGACAAACCAGAGGCTGGGAAACACTGCATTGCCCGTTAGCTCCTGCCTGGGGAACAGTGGGCAGCAACGAGGAGGCAGTGTTATTCATCAACCTGCCTGGTGCTCGTGGGAAACCCCAAGGGATTGCTACCAGACAAAGGTCTGTTTGCTTTTGCAAAAGGAAATATTTGCTGCTGACATAGAAGCAGTGAGAATCCTTTATCTTTTACTATTGCGCTTTCCCAAGCCTTGCTCTGCTGTCCTGGATTCCCACTGCCTTCACTCTATCTGCAGCACATCCATCCTCCTTTGGCCGTGCCATGCAGCTCCCTGCTGCTTTGTTCTCCTGTGGCCGGGAGCTGGGGGCGACGGCAGCTGCTCTGAAGTCAGAGGATGGCCAGCAATGTCACTGAGGTCAGTGGGTGTGCACAGCTTGTCAGTCACACAACCACAGAATGCCCTGTGTTGGAAGGGACCTCAAGGGTCACAAAGCTCCAACCCCCCTGTGCCATGCAGGGCCACCAACCTCCACATTTCACAGCAGCCCAGGCTGCCCAGGGCCCCATCCAACCTGGCCTTCAACACCTCCAGGGGTGGACGGGGCATCACAGCCTCTCTGGGCAGCTGTTCCAGCACCTCACCACTCTCACAGTAATGAACTTTCCCCCTGATCTCCATAAGTCCCAGTCCCAGATCTGGGAGTGATGCTGCCTTCTCACGTGAGCATTTATTTAGAAAACAGCTTTCAGTCAAGCAGCCCTTCCTGCTGTGCTTAACCTCAGTTAACGGAGGAACAAGCATCCAAGAATATCCCATTAATCAAAGGCAATGTGGTACAGCAAGTTCTACAAGGCATTCTTGGAGCCAGCGCCGTGCTCGGTGCCAGGAGACGCCCGCTTAGGTATTTGCAAGGAAAATGGGCTCTGGGCCATCTTGGAGCAGGGGTAAATCTCTGTAGCTTTGTCAGTTCCAATGGGAAGCCCTGAAAATGAGGCTGTGGATGCCCCATCCCTGCAGGCATTCAAGGCCAGGCTGGATGTGGCTCTGGGCAGCCTGGGCTGCTGGTTGGCGACCTGCACACAGCAGGGGGTTGGAACTGGATGAGCATCGTGCTCCTTTGCAACCCAGGCCATGCTGTGATTCTATGAAATGCTCCAGGACTTGAGAGGACAGTGCTGTGCTGTGCTGTCTGTGCTTGGCCGTCCCAAAGACATCTCAGCACGTGGCTGGGGTCAGTCCTTCTCCCATGGACTGATTCTTGTCCCTCTCTCCTGGAAAGAGCAGGAGAGAGGCAGAATGGCACCCAGGAGTCTCCTGTCAGCGCAGCCCCAGCCTGAAAGGCCTCTGAATTAGCGATGGGAGGAAACGCTGAACCTGGTGTTAACGTGGCTTACAGGGACTTGGGCATGGGTCCCTCCGTGGCTCAGGCAGTGCTCTTTAGGAGGCTGTTTGACTCCTTTCCTTATGCTCTCGGGAGGAATATCCTCTTTCCTCCAGCTCTGAAGGGAGTTCAAGGAGCTCTGCCTGCAGCTGTCCCCAAAACCTCACTTGAACCCTGTTTGTGTTTGACCCGGAGGTGCAGGCGGGTCGTGTGGCCCATCTGCTGTGAGAAGCAGTGCAGGTGGGTTTTGCTTTGAAACAACCTCCTTTCTGCAGAATGCTTAGCATCCTCCAGTCCTGCAAGGGTTTCTTGCTGCTTGGGTTCTCTCCAGTTAATGGCAGGAGACTCCCTGCTGCAGAGAGCAGGTAGGTTAGCTGCAGAGCTATCATTAAGTGCTGGGAGCATCCCTGGCCTGGGCAGCCCACAATGGGAGATGAGAGCACCCACATGTGATGTGCAGATGAGAAACATGCTGGCAGTGGGTAAAGGGCCCTTTGTGCTGCCCAGGGGCACAGCAGCCACACGTGCACCCCCCCAGCACTCGGTTATAGGGGCAGCTCACCCCTGCCTGCCTGCTCCTCTGAGCAGGGCTTTGAATGAGGGCTTTGAATGAGAGCTCTTGGGCATTGCACTGCTTAATGGCTTTGCAAAGCTGAGGTATTTTTGGAGGGGTTGTTTGTTGCACCATAAAATGCGTTCCTGCTGTTTCAGCCCATCCCTGGGCGTGCAGGTGCCTTTCCAGGGTGGAAATGCCACCGTGGTTCTGCTGTGTTTGCAGTTAGTGCTTTCCGCTGCTGCTTGGCTGGGAGCCTTGCAAGCAAGGGTGGGAAGGAAGGACAGGCCTGGGTAGCTTTGCTAATGAGCTGCTTTCCCCTTGT